AAAAATATGCTCGATTGAGTTCGGGTCATTACACCCTCTAGTTGCCGTTACGATATCAAAATTATCTACCGAATGTGAGAGGTAATATTGGTGAGTGGTAGGTAATACATCACATATAAAGTAAATAAATAGATAAGACGCTTTAATCTTTTTTTCTTCTTTCCTTTTTTCTTTTTTATAAATTTTTTTCAAAAATATTTGGCGCAGGCTCTTATTCCTCATGTTTGAATTTGGTCGCTAACAATCTACTGATTATTAATTAACTTCATAATCTTGTCTTTGCTTCTTTGTCCAATCCTATCAATACATTGTCTATATTTAATTACTAACCTAGCTAAAGACTAAGTCCCTTTATTTAAATTACTAACTAAAGGGGCCTTTATTTAACCCCTATGACGACAATTGTTAATAGAGTCGGCTCGAGAAAAGTTTGAAATTGTACTAGATAACAAACGAAATATAGAAAAAGTAGCCCCGTTGAAGAAATACTCAAAAGTAAACATGAGGAAGTAGTAATCCAGCTGGGATGGGATATTCATTATTGGGAAATGAAAACGATAAGCATAAAATATTAAATATTAAATATTACTATTAAATAATAAATTGAAACGCTATCCACAAAACCAAAATTAAAGAAAAGATGAAAATGACTTCTTTCCAATCAATCTTGGTAATCGAATTAAGACCTGTAGTAGTTAGTTAGTACATGAGCCGTGGATGATTATTTTCTTATCTTTTTTTTGGATAAAAATAATTAAATTATTAGTACTATATAGCCTTTTTTTTGATCCACGTGGGCCCATCTCATAGGCGTATAATAAAAACAAATCAATATTTAGCGGAAAGAAAGAAGATTCTTTTTTTTTTTTCGTTCTCTTCCTCTTGACTTTTTTGACTGGTCATGCAGTCATTATTACACACACACACACACACACACTCCCCTTTCTCTTTTTTTAAATCTCACCTTGAAAATATCCCTACTAGATCTCAAACCAACCTTTTTGTTCTTGTAAATAAACTTTAGGGTAAATTACGACAATACTTCTCCTATTTGGGTAATTATAAATACCCATTAGTCATGAATTATTTTACACATTTATTTTTATGGTGTGAATTTTAGTGGAAATTTCTAAATGATGTGGAATATTCTCCAGTTTGTACCCGTTTTATCCCATTCGATCTCGACATTTTAAAATAAGATAATTATAAGATGTGTATCTTGGCTTGTAAATATTGGATTGTTTTGCATCACAAACTGTATTTTTGCACAAAATGAATATAAAATAGAGAATGTGTCGTGTAATCTAGAAGATTCTGTTTAATTTGACACCATAAGGTACATGCTGGTTGGAGTTATTCAAACAAAATGATTTTTTTTTTTTATTCAGTATAATTTAAATTTTATTAGTCAATTTTTGTAACGATTTTTCGGATTATGTGATAGAATAATAATATGTTTTGAATAATCGTCATGAATGCAAAAAAATGGTTTTGATTTTTGAACGAAGTGTGCAGAGAGTGGGACCCACAGAGTAGTGTGTTTACACACACAACACACAGTGGCGCACTGCAAATTCTGCTTCTCCTGCTTCTGCTTCTGCTTTCCAACGTCTCTCTCTGATCATTTCACTCTCTTTCTCTAACAAACTTTTGATTTTCTTTTTCTTTTTTTTTAATAAAAAAAGATAAGAACAAAAAAAAGATGCCATAATGCTTAGCGAAGAAAGATACGTTGGGCTCAACACGTAGAAGAAGCAGCATCATCCCTCAGTCGCTCACATTTTTCATAATTCAACCCACACACACACACACACACACACACAATTTATCTAAACATGGGAAAATTGCTATTAATCTGAAGGTTTTCAGGGTAAAGGGGCTTGCTTTTTTTGGTAAAGCAATCCCAGAATTCACGTGCCCTCTTTCTCAACAGAATTCATTATTTATAGCCTACAATTCTTTTTTTTTTTTTTCTTTTTATACATCACTTTTTCTTGTATATATATATATATATATATATATATATATATGTATGTGGGCACTGGGTTTTCTTGTTAAAAAATAAGGGTGGGTCTTAAAAGATAGCATCTTTGCAGAAAAGGGTTGTTTCTTGAGTGAGATGGGGTTGTGCTGGAATTTGGCGGCGGCGGTGGTGGTGGTGGCGTTTTTGGTGGTCGGCGGTGGTTATGGGTTCCCGGAGGAGGATCTGGTGGTGAAGTTGCCAGGTCAGCCATTTGTGAAATTCAGGCAATATGCAGGTTATGTAGATGTGGATGTTAAGAAAGGGAGGAGCTTGTTTTACTACTTTGTGGAAGCTGATAATAACCCTGATCACAAACCCCTCACACTATGGCTCAATGGAGGTAATATTTTGTTGCAATTTTTTAGAGTTTATATTGTTTTTTCTATTTTATATATACTTGTATTAGTTAGGACATTAGCCCATGTTAGTGAGACAGGGGAGACTGTGTTATTTACTCTTTTTTTTTTTTTTTTTGCTGAATTGAAAAAAAAAGATTACTTTTTTACTGTTGTTATGTGAACATTTTTACTGTTTTCAGCTTTTCTGCTTCGGTTTTGGTTTCTGCTTCGGTTTCGGTTTCGGTTTCGAGCATTTGTACATTTTGAGCATGTCACTGGTTAAGAGTACACATATATATAGCCAAACAAGGCACTATCTAGCTGGTTCTACAGTAAAAGTCAGTTCTTGAATTTTGAGATGAAGTTTCGAAACTAAATCGAACTGCATATTGACATGATTCGAACAATAAAGAGCAAAAAAGGAAAGAAAAAAAAAAGAGGGTAGTCTTGTAAATTGTCCCTTTATTTATATACCATTGAATTAATTCTGAAAAATAGTTGAGAATTTGTTTTTGTTGTAATCAGGGCCGGGTTGCTCGTCGATTGGAGGAGGTGCCTTCACTGAGTTAGGTCCTTTTTTCCCCAATGGCGATGGCCGAAGCCTGAGAGTAAATTCAAAATCTTGGAACAAAGGTAAAAAAAAATAGTTAATTATTTTTTGTCTGCATGTCGAATTTGAGGGAACTATAGTACTTATTTTTTGTGTGTTTGTGTAGCATCAAATCTATTGTTTGTGGAGTCTCCAGCTGGTGTGGGATGGTCATATTCGAATACGAGCTCGGACTATACTTGCGGTGATGCATCGACAGGTAAAACCGAGTTGCTCTATACATACATATTTTATTTTATACATTTGCAAAAGTAAACATTGTAAGTTGGAGTCGAATTTCTTGTTTTATGGCAGCAATGGATATGCACGTATTCTTGATGGAGTGGTACAAGAAGTTCCCCACTTTCAAAACCCGAGATTTATTTCTCACAGGAGAAAGTTATGCAGGTAAACAATCTTGAAATTGATATTCCGAAAAGAAAAAAACACAATCTTGAAATTGAATTCGTCGGCTCTATAATTGTAGATGGATAAAAATTAGATCTTTGCTTTTCTGAATAGGGCATTACATCCCGCAATTAGCTATTGCTCTTCTGGACCACAACCAACATTCTCCCAAATTCAAGTTCAACATCAAAGGGGTTGCTGTAAGTAAACATTACTCTTCGTTTATCATTTTCTGATTTTACAAAAGATTTAATTTTTGTTTTGTTTTGCTAGATCGGGAATCCACTTCTGAGGCTCGATAGAGATGTACCAGCAACTTACGAATTCTTCTGGTCACACGGAATGATTTCCGATGAAACGGGCCTCGCAATTATGAACGATTGTGATTTTGATGATTATTCATTTGCTAGTCCACACAATGTTTCTGAATCTTGCAACCAAGCAATATCCGTGGCAAATCAGATTGTCGGTGATTATATAAATAACTACGATGTTATTCTTGATGTTTGCTATCCATCCATCGTCGAGCAAGAGCTTCGACTAAAAAAGATGGTACAGTTATACGTCACTAGAATCAATTCCTATTCAATTTTTCTTTTTCTTTTTTTTATTCAATGTCTCAAAGTAATAACTCAATACGAAATTGCAGGCGACAAAGATTAGTGTTGGAGTTGATGTTTGCATGAGCTACGAAAGACGCTTCTATTTTAACCTTCCTGAGGTTCAAAAGGCGCTTCATGCAAATCGAACCAAATTACCCTATAGCTGGTCCATGTGCAGTGGGTGAGTCTACTTTAAGGCCTCGTTTGGTTCTTTAGATAAGATAATATTAAATAATTTAATGCTCGATAAATGATCTCCCTAAAAGACAAGAGATAGATAGGCCACGGTAAAATAATATTTTCCCAAGCAAACGAGGTCTTAAAGGACAACAATCCACCTCTTTTACCATGAAAATGTAATATTTAGCGTATAATTTATGTTTCTTTTAACATATTTCACTAATCTCCATAATTAATTTATGTTGGCAGTGTTCTGAACTACAACGAGACAGATGGAAACCTCGATATGCTTCCCTTGCTCAAGAGAATCATTCAGAACCGCATTCCCGTTTGGATTTTCAGGTAAAAGTAAAAAAAAAAAAAGATATACTCAACAAAATTCCCAATATTTTTTTTTCGAACTATCAACAACTGATGAAATGTTGCCAAAAAAAAAAAAAAAAACAGCGGCGATCAAGATTCGGTTGTGCCATTACTTGGTTCGAGAACACTTGTACGAGAACTTGCTCATGAAATGCAATTCAAGATCACAGTCCCATATGGAGCTTGGTTCCATAAAGGCCAGGTACTATATTATTACATTCTTAATAAATAACCTTTTTCTTTCTCTTTTTTATTTAAAAAAATAAAAAAAAATAGATAATTGTTTAATAATATTTATTTTGTTAATTTTATTACAGGTAGGAGGATGGGCAACTGAATATGGAAACTTGTTAACGTTTGCTACAGTTAGAGGTGCAGCTCACATGGTGCCGTATGCACAGCCGTCAAGAGCTCTGCATCTGTTCAGCTCGTTCGTTCGTGGCCGTAGATTGCCTAACAACACACGTCCCGCCATCGACGACTGATATACGAGCAAGAAAAAAAAAGACTTAAATTACAATGTTTTGATTTTGGTGTTTTTTGAATTTGATTTCTCTAGTTTTCTTGGATTTTTATACAAGTCCATTTTATTTGCCTCCAATAAAACAGTTAACTTCATTTTTAAGATTGATCATATTGCAAGAAAGATTAATTAAATTTATATATATATATATATATATATATATATATATATATATATATATATATATATATATATATATATATATATATTATGAACACAGAGAGAAAATTTTTATTTATTCACACACTCACACCAAACTAATAATTGGGGGCGTGCAATGTGATTGACATGTTATTTATTTATTTTTATTAGTGTTTTCCTTTCAAAATGATAGACATGTAATATTTTTTAATCAGATAGACAGCTCAACACCATATTATTTATTACTTTCGCTCATATTATAGCATTAGTCTTTGGTGATCTCGAGTTTGACTAAATTATGTTAAAGTATATATAAAATACACAACATTTTGTGTATTCAGTCAATTTTAAAAGGCTTATTACAAATAAGCCCACCATCCCTCCACTTATTGACAAATAGGTCCACATCAAAATATGTTTAACATTTAAGTCCATCAACTTGTCTTTAGATCGAAATACCCTCCCTTAAATACCAAATTGTATCGGGTTCCCTCTCCCCTTATCGAATTTGGTTCTCTTTCTAAAAACTCAAATTCGTTTCTCTTTCTACAACTGCTCCTGCTCACCCACGATCTTCAAATCGAGATTCCTTGCAAGAAAAAAAGCAATTGTGCGCTTAGGGTTCAGTTAATGCGCAACTTACACGTGAAGGCAAAACGGTCATAAAATAGTAATTTGTCCTTCCTGATAAGATCGGTGTAAGTTATGGACTTATGTGTAAAAAAAAAAATACACCTGAACTTAGATTTATAAAGGTCTATGGTCAAGGACGTGCCTACAAAAAAACAATTTGAAAAAGATAAAAAAAAAAAGAGGAAAAAAAAAAACCAACAATTACTGGATTTATTCTTCTTCGGCTGATAAAAAATAAAGTAGTAGGTGGGGGAGTGGTATCCAGCTGGCAAGCCACCAAAAAAGTATAGGGCCCAAAATGTAATTACCAAAAGATTCATAAAAGACTCCTCTTTTCAGTGTCAACAAAATCTAAAATAGCAAACTAAACTTGCCGGTTAATAACCTAATTCAGTAATTGTGGCTCTTTCCAAATCTTGATCTTTTCATAACCCATTCTCACTTTTAACTCAAAACAAATTTAAGAACAATTTGCACAATGCCATAATATGTAAACAGATCTAGTCGAAAATCATATCAAACTACTCGATATCAATTCAAGTACCCAACAATCCAAACTCGGGACACAATTTTAAAAACTCGATAAAAAAACGAAAGATTCAAACAAATAACTGCTCGCATTGACTCAGAAGAGCACCAAACCTTTATTTAATGACAAACCGTGTAAGAAAATTCACCACACATCAGTTAAAAGCAGCACAACATCTCTTTAGTTCAGACATCATCAATCTAGCACCTACAGCTGACCGGAAGTTACCAAAATACCCTTTTCTTCACCGTTCTTGAATCCCATTCCTTCAGCTTCAACAACAACAACCAGGTTAATTTTCACCATTCTTTAATCCTGTTGTGTATGCTAATAATAATCAACAGCAGCCCAGTTTCTGAAACAACTGTAAGATCCCAAAAGCTTTTTAATTTTGCATTTTTAGCGAAGAGTTAAAGTTCATTTCTTGATGATAAAAATCAGATCTTTTGTTCTGTAACTGCTTCGTGTACTGCGAATGAGCGCAGATATGAAGAGACTGTACTGGGGTTATTTTGGTCATTTGAATCCCACCTTCAAGAAAGCTGTGAAGTCTTTATCTGGGAGTTACACAAAAAGTTCAATTTTTCAATCTTTAACTGCACTACTCATGGTTGGTTCATTCCTCTGTTTTCTTGTAGTAATGGGGTGCAGCTATTTTTTCATGTTACCCTCTACCGAAAAAGTAGTCGATTCGGATAATCGAAATCGGGATAGGATTAGTATTAGCAATAGCAATAGTAGTAGGTCTAGTGATTTCTTGAACAAGGGTTGCAATGTGTTTGATGGAAAATGGGTAATCGACGAAACCTACCCCTTGTACAACGCGTCGCAATGCCCGTTCATGGAACGGGGTTTCGATTGTTTGGGCAACGGTAGGAAAGATCAAGGGTATCTCAAGTGGAGATGGAAGCCCCAAAACTGCGAAATTCCGAGATTCGATGTGGGTGCTGTATTGGAGTTTCTTCGTGGTAAAAGGGTCGTTTTTGTCGGAGACTCGTTGAGTAGAACTCAGTGGGAATCGATGGTTTGTATGCTTATGAACGGTGTTGAGGATAAATCGAGTGTTTACGAAATCAATGGTAACGAGATCACGAAGCAGGCTAGGCATTTGGGTGTTATGTTTGGACCGTTTAATTTTACGGTCGAGTTTTATCGGTCGGTTTTTCTAGTGCAGCCTGGTTTGGTGCCTAGGCATTCGCCTAAGAGAGTGAAGGCCGCGTTGAAATTGGACCAATTGGATGATATTAGTGGAGAGTGGATTGATTCGGATGTGCTTGTTTTTAATTCGGGGCATTGGTGGACGCCGACGAAACTGTTTGATATGTAAGTGGTTTCTCATTTCGGTCCGTTTTTATTTTTTTGTTTCAGAACAAATTATGAGTAATGGTTGGTAAATTGGAGTTAAATTATCGGATCCGCATTGGTACTTATATTTGAATTTTACTCGTGGATGCATTTTGTTCTTTGTTTCTTCTCGATAAACGAATAAAGAATCAATTTTTATTGAGTTTTCTCAACGACTAAACTTCTTGATTCGGTAGGATCTTGCTCTTACTAGTACTATCTTGTGATTATCATACGTTGACCTATGTGTGTATCGTTTATGGACGTATACTATCGACTTATAAGTGATATTTCCGTCTGGAACATAGATTTTTTAATCAGTATATGCAATTGTTTTGATGTCTGTAAAACTGCCTTTTGAATTTTGATTGGTTACCGAAATGAGATAATTTGCACTAGAGGTTTAAAATCGAAACTAGAGGTTAAATTGGACTCGAAAGTTAGAAACTATGGAGTTGTAGTTGTTCTTGTTTCTCCAATCTTTAGTTTAGTCGAAGTTTCATTACAAACTACGTCTAATATGGATTTTCAGATCACAGGGGTTGGTATTTTCAGATTGGTGGAAAGATGAAGCTCGGAATGTCGATAAATAATGCCTTCAGAGTCGCACTCGCCACCTGGCAATCTTGGGTCGAGAATTCGGTCAATCCAAACAGGACCCGTGTTTTCTTCCGAACATTCGAATCCACTCATTGGATGTACGTTATCGTATGTATCTCTTGATCGAATATATATAATTTTTTTTTATATATCGTCTTCTAACAAAGTATCGTTTTTTTTATAATATGATCAGTAGTGGGACCCGTCAAAACTGTAAAGTAACAATCAAACCAACACACGACGTGAAAGGGAGACAAACGAGCTCGATATCTGATGCAATAATTAACGTTGTGAAAAATGTGCCGATTAATGTAAGACTCTTGCATGTTACTAAAATGGGTGCGTTTCGGAGCGATGCTCATGTTGGCACGTGGAGCGATAATCCAACGGTACCCGATTGTAGCCATTGGTGTTTGCCGGGAGTGCCCGATATGTGGAACGAGCTTCTCTTTTCGTTTCTGCTTTCAGAGTGAAGGAATAATTTTTGAATATTCTTTTTGTATTTTTTGTTTTGTTTATTTTTTGGTTCTTGTTTGAGAGATTCCTTGATTCTTGTATTTGTGTATACACTATAGAGAGAGGAACAAATCACTAAAACACTCTTATTTAACTGTGTAACAATATTAATATATTGACTGCATTTTTTTATATTTTTTTAAAATAAATTTGAAAATCAAGATTGGAAAAGATTATTTCTAAATGTGTGTATTGTGCAAATGGATAAATCCACCCTAATTTTTTCACACAACACACACATTGGTGTGTGTACAATGGTCAACCGACAAGATTCTAGTGTCTATATACCTATAAGTGGAATGTCCGAGGATGTTTGTATCAAACTTGTCTATTTTCTATTTCAATTTTCATCACTCTGATTAATAATGACGTAAGCATTGAGTTAATAATAAATAAAAATAAAAAAAATAAAAAAATAACAAGTGGATTTTTTATTATACAAACAAGTAAATAATAGCTCAAATTGCTGTACGATACAGAGTTTGTTTCTCTTATAATAAATGTTGGATTTTGTAAACCCATCTGCCACCCCCAACAACCGGATCAGATTTTGGATTTCAAGAATCCACATTTCACTCTACTAAACACACACACACACACACACACACACACACACACACACACACACACACACACACACACACACACACACGAGTTATATTAATATTAATAAATAAAATTTGGCAATAATTGCGTCTTCCAGTCCAGCACATAGCTCGCAATGCCATAGCTGCTTCTTTCATTGGTACATTAATAGCTGCTTCAGACTGATATATGTGCTGTCAATTGTCTTTTTGGTTTTGCCTTCTACCTGTTTGTCGAAATGCCCACAAGAGTTAGTGAAACTGCTGTTTCTTTCTTCTCCTTATTGTTTTTAGCAATTGATGGATATTGATACATTGTCATGTATTTGAATCCATCATAAATTTTTGTATGTAAATTACCACATAAATCCAATTCAGAATTCATTTTATAGGCAAGTTTATGATTGTGTATGTTCTGGTAATAGGTAACAGAATTAAGATCACATGTCATCTGCATACATCCACCGATTCATGTTTAACGGGATCGGTTCGGTTCTACCACAAACTCTTCATTACGATTTAGAGTAGGTGTGATTTCGTCAAATGCTCGATTAATCAATGGAGGCTTCATTATTCTCCGTGGATAAGGTACCGCTGCTTAATTATCGGCCATCTCACTGTTGTTCGTTCAGTTCTTATCCAAAAAAATTGGAGTCGTTCGTCTGTACTGAATCACACTTTCGACGAATCGTAAATAATAAACTTCAATCGAAGAAAACGATCTTTTCCGGCCAATCAGTTTGTTGCTACAGGCTCAAACCAGTTTCTGCTCTTAGCTCAGAAGATACACACCCGATTAATCAGGTATACTCAGCTCCAAGATTTAAGTCGAATGATTTTGTTTTTCGATTAATGATTTCAATCTACCTTTTAATTAATTAATAAAATAAAGGGTTCATCACAGGTGAGAGGCCAGAGTTTCGACCAATGGGATTCTCTTACAGCAAAATTTGCCGCGGCTGCAAATTTGCCGTTTCTGTTATTACAACTGCCTCAGATTATTCTCAATACTCGGAATCTTTTGGCAGGGAATAAATCAGCCCTTTTAGCTATTCCATGGCTGGTACTATTTTCGACACCTTTTATTACTGTTCCAACGATTTCGACTGTTAAGATATATATATTTATTGCTCGTTTATTTTAGGGTATGTTAACTGGATTACTCGGGAATATTTCATTGCTCTCGTACTTTATAAAGAAGAGGGAAACCGAAGCGGTGGTAGTCCAAATGTTAGGAGTTATATCAATGTATGCAGTGATCTTGCAGCTTGTTATCGCCGACGCTATGCCGCTCCCACATTTTATCGTCACTTCGATAGTGATTGCATCGGGTCTCGTTTTAAATTTTATGAGATATTTTCAATTGCTCGATGGAGAAATCTGGCATTTCTGGGAAGAATTTATAACAATTGGCGGTCTCTCTGCACTTCCACAAGTAAACATTTCCGTCACCGAAAGAAAACATTTTTATTCGATTACTTTTAATAATTCTTGCGATCGGTGTTGACTGTGATGTATATGTCCAGGTCATGTGGTCAACATTCGTACCGTATATTCCACACACTGTCTTGCCTGGATTCATCGCCTTTTCGACTGCAGTTGTTGCTGTTTTTCTGGTGAACAAAAATATACAATTTTTTTTTTCTAGTAAGGATTTTTAGTTCGAAATTCTCTAATTTTGCAGATTTTTAATATATTTTTTTTTCAGGCTCGTATGGGAAAGCTCTCGGAGAAAGGCATCGGGATTCTTGGATTTGTATCGGGGTGGACCGCAACTCTTCTATTCATGTGGATGCCTGTTTCTCAAATGGTTATCTCCTTTTTTAATTTATTAATTCTCGGGATTTATTTCGTGTGTTAAGCTGATTGTTTTTTTTTTTTTTTTTGCAGTGGACAAATATTCTGAATCCTGAAAATGTGAAAGGTTTATCGGCTGTGTCGATGCTATTGGCCATGATTGGCAACGGGCTTTTGATCCCACGAGCACTATTTATCCGGGATTTAATGTGGTAATTTTCCCATAATTACAAAATTTTAAGTCGTTAAATAAGAACTCGTTGCATGCAAATTTAAGAACTACGGTCAATCTGCAGGTTCACTGGTTCGACTTGGTCATGTGTTTTCTATGGATGGGGAAATCTTATATGCCTGTACTGGTAATTTTCGTTTTCGATTCCACACGCAACCCTATACGATTATCGGTTTTTTTTTTTTTTTTTTTTTTTTTTTTAAGTAATTCGTAATTTTCTGTCGCTACAGCTTCAACAATATTAGCAAGGAATTTTTCCTGGCTTCGTCTTTCGGTTTTCTTGCGTGGATAGGTGCACTCTATAGTTATTGATACATTGTGCTCTACAAATCGAGAAATCGTACCTCACCGTTTATTCGTGTATACTTATTTCCTCAGGAATAACTGTGTGGAGAGATGCAAAAGTTCATGGATATAATTCACCATTCTCTTCTTTAAAGGAGATGATTTTCGGACACTGATCAACGAGGGCAACACCGTAACATAGCTGCACACTAAATGTACGCAACGCTTCCTCATTCGCCGTCTGAAAATACGTATTTTACGGTGCTCTTACTGTGTAATTTAGTCGGATTTAATTACAGGACCCTTAAAACATCTTTCTCTTGTCAGTTCAAAATGTAGTGATACAATAATCAGAAAAAAAAAAGTAGTCGGATAACATCGATTATTCTCGCTGCATCGCACCAGATTATTACCCTTCATAAGCCCAATAATATGTAATACATGAGAGTTACCGGTAAGGACACCAACATTCCAAAAATAACCCTGCATTCACACAAGAAGAAGAAAAAAAATGCCTTAATTAATTACTGTATTCCGATTACCGAAGAGTTTAGTACTTAATCGTTCGTACTTACCCGGTACTTAGTATGTCTGGATGCAATCCGTATTCTCGTGCAAACACAAACGGAACAATCCCTTGCGGCAGAGCTGCCTACGTACACTCAAATTACGCCTCGTTTAATTGGCAATTAAAACTAATTAAAATATGTAATTAAAAGATACCTGAACTATGGCGGCGTGAAGGTGGGCCCCTCTAAGCCCGACGGCGAAAGAAGCGGCGCACATCAAAATCGGGCCTCCGATGAATCTAATCAGCATCGATATTGTTGCCATTTTCGTACCGCATGCTATTAATCGAGGCTGAAGTGCCATAAAAAGCCCTGATAATATTTTTGCAACTTCAGTTTCATCAACACTTAATCAGACAAATTAAATTAGAATGTAATTAATAAATAACATTGGATTTAAATATTAATTAATATAAGTAAGTACCCAAACTGAACATTGCCATTCCTAGCCCTGCATCTGAAATGATTTTGACAGAGTATTTAACCAAACTTGGCATTCCCACGTTCCATCTGTCGATTGAAAAAATCATTAATTAATTAAGTATTTATTTAACATGCATGTAAATTAATTAGGCTTACTTAAAGGAGATTAGAGACCAAGAAAGGCCTAAAACGCTGGAATAAGTGTTGGGGTTACGTAGAAGCTTCCTTCCAACCATGATTAGTATAAGCCTTAGCATTACTAGGGCACGTGGCATTTCTTGATTGGTTGATGTTTCCTTCATATCTAATCCTTCTTCCACTGAAATCCTTCCGCAATCTCTGAAGCTTAGATCTTTCTCTATAACAACATATTACCAATTACTACTAATTAATCACACACACACACACACACACACACACACACACACACACACACACACACACTAGTGTGAGATCATTCTTGACTCTTGACTCTTGACTCTTGAGTGATATTAAAATTATTGAAAATTTCACACATAATAATTAAAACCCACCTGTCTTAAAATCTTAATATTTTATTGTCCCTACTTAAATATATCCACACACACACACACACACACACATACATAGAAGTTGGAGCCTAGAAAAGTGCACATAATTAAAATAAAATGTGGCTAAAAATAAGTACAAGGCAGAAAAGGGGCAAACAAAATAGAGTGGGGGAGGATCATCAGACTGTCTTATTACATAAATTCCAAAGGAGCAATCATACAACAATCCCACTTAAAAACACACGTGCTTTTTAGTAATTATGCTCTCCATTTACACAAATGAATACTCTCCCCTCAATTTACCAACCCCACCAAAAAAATAAATAATTTTTTTTAGTTAAAACTAAATAATATAAGAAAATCCCAATTGAGATAATCATGAATGTATTTCATTTAGATAGGACAATTAATTATCTAAATTCTTGTGATATTATACAATAAATTAATTAATTAATTTCAAGAAATTGAGTGAGGTCAATTTTGTCTGGTCAAGACAGGGTGATATATGACATAACGAAAACTATGTTGGGAGAATCTTTTAGACAATTTGTACATGCAAGATAGCTACCTCTCTCTGCATCAACTGTAATTGTTTAATTTCCTTTTTTATTTATTAATTAAAACCCAATTAATCCATATTAAAATAAAATAAAAATGTAATGACAACGTACGTACCCGCAACATCTCCGAACCCGTGTCCTTCCTCCGGGGACTCCCACACCATTTTCACCACCGGAGAAGGCTGCCGGAAAATCTTCCCGGCAACCGGGCTCGCGGCGGCGGAATCAAGCTCGTTGAAACTCGAAGCCCTCGGCGTGGGCTGCAGAGAATAAGCATCCGACGAGGCGTAGCCCGCAGAAAACCCGGCCGGGCTGACGGGTCGGAACCCGAACCCGTACTCGAGCGGGGTGCCGATGGAGAAGATTTCGGCGTTGGAGAGATTCGAACCCCTGGGGGTGGGCCCCACGGAGGTGGCGGCCGATGACGTGGACCGTCGGATCCGGACGTGGATACGGCCGTTGTCGTCGACTTCGGACTCGGTGAGAAGTGGGTCCCGCCCGTCGAGTGAGATGACGTCATTGTCTATTTCGAATTTGGTTATGGCGGCCGCCGCTTGTCCGGGGAACTGCGTCTGGATAAGTATCGCCGCCGCCCTGTATTCAAAGAGGAAGAGCAACAGCGTATACCTGCGTCCATTCAAATTATATTATTATAAAATACAGTTAATTGAACCAAATATATATATTTTTTTAATTATAATTAAAATTATTATTTTTTTTGAGGAATCCAAAGATGAAAAGACACTAGTGGGTCAAAACAAAAGCCAAAAAAGTCAACAATTATCCTATTCAAATCTGCATGCTACATAGAAGCTCATTACACCTTTTTAAATACACAGCTTTTCATAATTAGGTTAAAAATTCCATTCACTTTCTACCCTGCCCCATTTGTTTGACTTGTATTAAAAAAAAACACACAAACACACACTCAGACGTTTAGTACATGAAAAATTATGTAAATATATATTAAATATAGTATCTCCGAGTCATATTAAGTGGCGTTTTCGGCCAAAATAAATCCATATTAAGTGTCACTTTAGGTTATCAAGAAAATATTTTTTTTTTTTACCAAGTTTAGCCTTTAGTATAGATTGTTCAAATTCATTAATTGATTACTAAGAGCTCTTTTAATAGTACTGCAAAGGTTAATTTAGGGGTTTTCTATTAAAAAGTCGACTATATTAATTAGGTTTCATAATTTGTGTTCATTTTACTTAATCGCCACTTAATATGAAACAGATGTAGTATATAGTATACAATGCGTACGTACCAGATGATGCATTGGAGAACGACTAATTGAACCATGAGAGATGTAGTGAAGTCGCCGTACATTGCTTTGAGCAAAGGGATGCCCATAACAAGAGTGTTGGGCAAAGTCGATACCGAAAAGAGAGTGATTAGCCAGTCGATTTGGCCTTTACATACGCACCAAATCGATAGCGAGACGAGGACGAGTGATTTGGAGAGAGTGTCGGCCAATATGAATTTGGTGTCCATTTGGTAAGGGTTGTTCTGAGAGATGAAGTGGAACGACAACACCGGAACCGCAAACACCGCCACGAACCGGTTGATGCCGGAGCACTGCTCCGGAGAGAATATTCCCCACCACTTCACCGACGCGTAGGCCACCAGCATTGCGAAGTAGAGTGGCACCATTGAGCACATCACGTTGTAGAAGTCATTTGTGCTTATCATCTCTCTCTCCCTCTCTCTCTCTAGAAATATGAATAAAAAGATGAGGAATTAATGGTTGAGAGATGATGAAGGTTGTCTAGCTATATATATGTGCTTTTGGTATACCTTTTTAAGTTAATTATTATATTGAGATGTATGTATATATATACAAATAATGAAATACTTGAAATTAGTGATTTCCAAATAAAAAGGAATACTATTGATTTGTAATTTTTTTTTTAAATGATAAAAATGAAATTAGGAAGGAGTAAATAGTAATTAGTAGAATGGTTAGGGGGGTTAAGTGAAATGCTGCTGGAAAATAGCCGGCACTGTTTGGGTGTGTATGCATAGGAGTTTCGACAATGCCGAAAGTGAAATGACGGGCGGCGTGCAACAAACATCATCTGACATCAATCACACACACACACACACACTCTCTCTCTCTCTCTCTTCGGGTTTTGTCGTCGTACGGCTTTCTTACAACATACGAATATGGGCCCTAAATGGGTAGTGATTTGGTCCGGTTCATATTGGGCGGGCCTATGTAATTGTAAATAAATAATGTCCTGGATTATAGATCATAGGACCCGAAAAATTGGAGATTATTAAAAATATTTTAAAAAATAACGTTTATTACTTTTATATATACGAGTTTGAGTAATCGAAATTTTTATTAGGGTAAATGCCACTTTCCCCCTTTGTACTTTGTCTGAATATCACTTTACCCCCTTGTACTCTCAATTGCATCGACTTTCCCCCTTGTACATTGGTTCAGTATCACTTTACCCCCTTCTACTTTCAATTCCTCGATTTGCCCCCTTGTACTTTGGCTCGATATCTCTTTACCCCATTCTACTCTCAATTGCATCGATTTACCCCCTTTACTTGAAAAATTGTCTCAATGTGGCCCTTGCCGTTAGTTTTCAGACCTTTACCTTAACACCGTTTGATCTAAGTTTGAAAATTACAAAAAAGTCACCCCTCCCAGGTTAAATAATTATTACTAAAAAAAAAAGAAAATTTGTGGCTGGCGTCGTCGTGGACTATGTTTTCTCGCTGTCTTGAATTTTTTTATTATTTTATTTTTATTTTATTTATTTATTTTTCATTTTTTTTTTAAATTGGAGGTGTGAAATTTTAGTAATTTTCAGACTTAAATCAAATGGTGTTAAGGTCCAAAGTCTGAAAACTAACAGCGAGGCCACATTGAGACAATTTTTCAAGTACATGGGGCAAATCGATGCAATTGAGAGTAAAAGAGGGTAAAGTGATATCGAAGAAAAGTACAAGGGGGCAAATCGATGAATTGAGTGTAGAAGGGGGTAAGGTGATATCGAACCAAAGTACAAGGGTGCAAATCGATGCAATTGAGAGTATAAGGGGGTAAAGTGATATCCAGCCATAGTAAAGGAGGAATGTGGAATTTACTATTTTTATTAACTATTTAAGTAATTAATTATTACATCCATTTCATATTAAATATTGTTTAAGATTGTTGCACGTTAATTAATTAAGAAAGTTGTTAAATAATGTTGATTTTGCACTAAAAAAAAATAATTTGACAAATTTACAAATTTTTCTCTCAGACTCTTCATTAGTTTTTCAGGTAAAGTTCCTTTGAAATTCTAAAGTGACACTTAATATGGAGAAAAAATTAAATTATAAGGCTAAAGTGAAATTACTATGAAATGAAGCTTAGACTATCCATGTAAAGAATTAACAGCTCGATTTGTTCCATGTAACCGAACAAGCTCTGAAGTTAGATGATACATCTGGTTATTTACGTTCGGTGAATTTGAACCGTAGATTTAATTAAATAACTACTCACTTAGCACATATACACATTGGTGTAGCGTATGTGCAATTATGTATAGATTTACGGTACAAATTCACCTAGTATAAATAACCAGTTGTAGTATCTAATTTGCCCCGAACGAGCTTTGCACTATTAAAAGATTAATATCACGTCGGTCATGAAAAACAAAAGTAAAAATCCTAGTCTAGATATTTTTGTAAAAGGTGTACTAAAACAATTATCAAGTTGCAATAATTTTAACATTTGAATTTTTAGGTTAAAAACAGATAACGGAAAACCAGATACCACCTTCCCCTTCTACTAAAGTGGTAAAATAAAACCAGCTGTCAGCTGTGATCAATTTTTAGATTTTTAAGATAATAATTCATTTACAAAACCTTTAATTTAATCTATCTGGCTTAATTATTTCTTCTATAAATTAGGATTTCATAACCATAAACAACTCAGACAAAACATCAATCTTTAACACAAGAAGATGCCGCCGCCGTCGTCAGCCACCGCCGGTCAGGTCATAAAATGCAAAGGTGCGATCTTTTTTTTTTTTTTTTTTTTTTTTTTCATACCCTTCAAAAATTACGCAGATAAATTTCAATGGGGTTTTTTATTTGTTGTGTGAATCTTTCATTGCAGCTGCCGTTGCATGGGAAGCCGGAAAGCCGCTGGTGATTGAAGAAATTGAGGTGGCGCCGCCGCAGAAAATGGAGGTCCGCCTGAGGATTCTCTTCACCTCCCTCTGCCACACCGATGTCTACTTCTGGGAAGCCAAGGTAATTCATTAATCAACAAATTCATTACCTAGTATATTAATTAATTGATAAAAAATAAAAACTTGAAAATTGAATTTGAAGTACTAAAATTAAACCTCTATAAATTAAATTAATGCAGTCGGAACCAGGGAAATTCTATAAATTTACGAATTATTAAATTATCGAGTTATTAATTTAACACGTTTTCATCAAGTCGGGATCGGGATAAACTATTATTTAATCGAGGTTATTAATTTTAACGAGGTTCTACTGTAATTAGTACTTATGAGAGCTCCCCTGTTTCGATTCTTGATTTTTTTTTTCAGGCGCAAGACTCTGTTTTTCCTCGGATTTTCGGTCACGAAGCAGCAGGGTATGTTAATTTATTCCTAATGATGTCAACTTATTACATATTAGTACTCAAACAAACATTGCAAATTTTTATTTTTATTTTTAATGTTGACTATATAATATAGAATTGTGGAGAGTGTGGGAGAAGGTGTGACGGAATTAGTGCCGGGCGATCACGTTCTACCGGTGTTCACGGGTGAATGCGGAGAATGTGCTCACTGTAAATCCGAAGAGAGCAACATGTGTACCCTTTTAAGGATCAACACCGAAAGGGGAGTGATGATTAATGACGGAAAATCGAGATTTTCGATTAACGGAAAGCCGATTTACCATTTTATCGGGACATCCACGTTTAGCGAGTACACCGTCGTTCATGTTGGCTGTCTTGCCAAGATCAATCCACTCGCCCCTCTCGATAAAGTTTGCGTGCTCAGCTGTGGAATTTCCACCGGTATAATTAATCTATTGATCGATACATTATGATTAATTTGAGAGACTAAATTTGGATTAAAAAAAAATTGGATCTTGATTGCTTTTCTTGTTTATAGGGCTTGGTGCTATGTTGAATGTTGCTAAACCGAAAAAGGGTTCTTCGGTTGCTATTTTCGGTCTTGGAGCTGTTGGGCTTGGTGTACGTTTCCGATTTCAAAAAAGATCATACAATTAAGAAATAAATCATTTTCAAAAAAAATATAATTTGGGTGATTTTCAGGCTGCAGAAGGAGCAAGATTGGCTGGTGCTTCGAGAATTATTGGTATAGATTTGAACCCTAGCAGATTTGAAGAAGGTATACAATTCATAAATTGCACCAAAGTATTTATATTTCGAACAAAAGAATCGATACGTAATTTGATTGTGCTAATTTTGTTTTATGCAGCAAAGAAATTTGGTGTGACTGAATTTGTGAATCCAAAAGACTATACCAAGCCAATTCAAGAGGTTGGTTGATCCATAAATTAATTGAGTTATATTAATTATCACTCTTTTATGTATTGTTTAAATTAACAAATTAATTTTCTTGAATTTTATTTATATAAAAATAGGTGATAGCTGAGATGACAGATGGAGGAGTGGATCGAAGCGTTGAGTGTACCGGAAACATCAACGCGATGATCTCTGCATTCGAATGTGTTCATGATGTATGTTTACCTAACATTCGCTAATATTTCTAAAAATTGAAGAAAAAAAATCAATTTGAAAATAAAAATAAAAAATTATAATCCAATGTAGGGATGGGGAGTTGCTGTACTCGTCGGTGTGCCTCATAAAGACTCGGAATTCAAAACTCACCCGGTGAATTTCTTGAACGAGAGGACTTTAAAGGGTACTTTCTTTGGTAACTATAAACCACGCACCGATCTTCCGGGGGTTGTCGAAATGTACATGAACAAGGTTAGTTTTTTCGAATTTCGATTCCTCTACGCTTCATCGAATATATATATTTTTTTTTTGATATTTTTTTTGAATTATTAATGTATAGGAGCTTGAAGTGGAGAAGTTTATAACTCACGAGGTGCCGTTTGCTGAAATTAACAAGGCTTTCGAACTGATGCTGAAAGGTGAAGGGCTTCGTTGTATCATCAAAATGGAGTGAAGAGATTATTCCCCATACTCTACTATTTGACCATAACTCAGGGGTTGGGACGTAATTTGCCATTTTATAATAAACTTTGAGTTATTTTATTTCATGTACTTTGTCTTTTTAAAATTAACAAGTTATTGAATTATCTGTTGTGTTCAGTGATCTGTTTGAATGATCAATACTTATTTGGTCATATATCAAAAGGCAAATAACGTTCGCCCCTGAGTTATGGTCAAATTACGAAACAAAATCTCATGTTTTAGTAAAATTATAGTCACCCCTCAACTATGTGTTATTTTACGAAACAATTCCTTCAGAGGTAAATTTAGGGGTGTTCAATCGGTAAAATCGATTCAAAATTTCGGTACGCTAATATTTCATACCGTTTACCGAAGTGAATATACGATTTGGTTCGATAAATAACTGGATTACATAAATTTTTTTGTAAAAATATTTAAAAATAAGGAGTAACTGTAACTACCCAAAAAATAGTTTTTTTTCATAATTTGATCGTAACTTAGGGGTGGCCATAATTTGGCCTATATCAGATCTATGACTACAACTAGAAGGACCAAAGCAAAGGATTCTAGTAATTATGTTGGAAAAAATCCATGACCGAGTAAAAAATAAGGTCAATAATACATGTCATAAGAAATAGAAATATAGTTAAATATCTATAAATTAATATTGTTAGGACCATTAAAATTTTATTAATTTAGCGAAATATTAACTTATTAATAAATTAATCATTATTAATTTATACATTAATTAATCACTTATTAATTTATATAATTACTTTTACTATTATTTTCAATAAATACATTTATTTAAAAAAATATGTGTATATTATTCATTGTACCATTCGCTCAATGCACTATAGAGCGCGTTTCACGAACGGAAGCTCTTACAGAGCAATAATATATAACGATTTATGTTGAGTTATGAGAAAACTATGCTGAAAGTTTTAACCATGTTAAGAAAAGTGAGGGACGAGATTGATGGTAATGTGAACTTCAACAAGAAACAAGCGAGAATTAAATTATATTGTGTTAAGCCTTCATAGATCTATAAAATATGTATTGTACCATGTATTTTAAAATTATTTTTATGCATTATAATTTATATATTATATGGGGCTTTTTAAATTTTTTGAATGTGTATTATCTTATAAATATAGCGAATTATTAATTTAGCATGTTGTCCCCGAGTCGGAATTGGGAAAATTTATTATTTAAACGACATTATTAATTTATCGAGGTTCTACTGTATGTGATTGTATAAGATATGAAAATTAGAGCAAATTATTGTAATCCAACATCAATTTTATAGATAAAAGATAAATCAAGGCTAATTAAGAGAAATAATTATGACATGGAGTAATTAAACATAATGACCTCACAAATATCTTAAACTATTTCAACATTTTGAATATATATTATATCAATAAAATGGTATTATCTATAGGTAAAATGGAAGTATCAATAGACCCTACTCGTGCAAATTACGTGCAACTCACGTGCAAATTACTAGTATTTAAAAACACATACATCATTTTAATTTATACTTTCATAAACTACCATTAACCAATATTAAAAACATAATAATAATAATAATAATAATAATAATAATAATAATAATAATAATAATAATAATAATAATAATAATAATAATAATAATAATAATAATAATAATAATAATAATAATAATAATAATAATAATAATAATAATAATAATAATAATAATAATAGCTTGATTATTGAAATTCAAATATTACAACAACATAAAAGAAAAATTAAAAAAAAAAAGAAAAGAAAAAAAATATATAAATCAGAATGACGGTCTATTTAAAATTAAGAGAAGCATTTTAATATAGTAGCAGTGCTACTAGTACATCAAACAGAAAAAAAATAGTCCATCCCTTAGGCCCTATAGTTCATATGTTCTCCCAATCATATTTCTTCACAAAAGCTTTGGGAGGGTAAGAATCCGAGTAGTAGCTTCATAGCGTAGTAGCACGAAGCCCCGTGGCAAGTTCCACTGAAAAAGTCGAAGACTCGTGCAATAATAGCCTTGTCCATGCCCCAATATATCCGGCAAAACGAGATAGTTTGTTGGCCGCAAAAATCGTACACATACTACTTCTCCGGACCTATAGTGGTGAGCCCTAGATCAGTGTTGTTGACCAGGCAAGACACCACCGTTCAGCGGGATGCCGGGGGAAGGAAGTTTCCGATGTGGACGTTGTGGCACTCAAAGAGTTCCTCTGTTGCCGCCAACGGTTGGATGACAAGTGCCACCGAGATGATAATTATAGAATAGCTGCTGCCGTCATGGATGAACAAGAGTTTTTTTTTTTCGTTTTTTCTCCTTATTTTTTTCATTGAATTTTTTTATAAAAGAACTATTAGGACTACAATTAATCTCTTTGGTGAATTTTTTTTAGTTCAATTTTTTTGGACCAAGTAGTGATTGTACAATATATGAAACATTAAAGCAAATATTGTAATGCAACATCAAATTTATAGTTAAAAGATAAAATCAAGGGTAATTAAGAAAAATAATTATAGAAAATTAACATGTTGAAATTAAACATAATAATATCACAAATATCTTAAAATATGTCAACATTCCAAATATATTTTATATCAATAAAATGAGATTGATTATAGAAAATAGAATTAAAAGTAGATCGATATGATCCGTGTAACTTACGTGCAACTTGCGTGCAACTTACGTGCAATTTGAGTAAAAGAATTGCTACTAAGGTTGATGGTGATGATGTCATCATCATGCCGAGCGATGAATAATAATAATAATAATAATAATAATAATAATAATAATAATAATAATAATAATAATAATAATAATTATAATAATAATAATAATAATTTTACACGTCATTACTTTGTAGGGGGAGCACATACAATCGGAACTATCGCTTGCTTCTTCGTTACAGATAGACTCTACACGTTCGTTGAAGGAGTCAACGCTTCAGATCCGGCCATCAGTTCGGACTTGCTACCGTCTCTCCAGAGCCAGTGCCCGAGAGGCGCAAACATATTGTATAGGACCCCGCTCTACCAAGTCACGAGCACTGTTTTCGACAACCAGAGTCTTCGCAACATCCGGAGCGGATTCTTCGTGTTGCCGTTGGATGCGATCCTATACGAGATAGGGTTACTCGCTCGGTTGTCGACATGTACGCGGTCGAGGACTCGACCTTCGCGTGTGACTTCGCCGCCGCAATGGTGAAGATGGGCCGGATCGGTGTGAAGACCGGCGACAGCGGCGAGCTTAGGCGCGTTTATGACGCAGCTAATCAAGGCCATCACTCCCGGAGCCTCTGAGAAGCCGAAATCACAGCTTCCTGTGGTTGTGGCTTTGGGTGGTGTTATGATTTTTTTTTTTTTTTTTTTTTTGCTTTTTCTCCTTATTTTTTTCATTGAATTTTTTTATGAAAGAACTATTAGGACTACAATTAATCTTTTCGGTGAATCTTTTTTATTTCAATTTTTTTTGGACCAAGTAGTGATTGTACAATATATGAAACATTAAAGCAAATATTGTAATGCAACATCAAATTTATAGTTAAAAGATAAAATCAAGGGTAATTAAGAAAAATAATTATAGAAAACTGACATGTTGAAATTAAACATAATAATATCACAAATATCTTAAAATATGTCAACATTCCAAATATATTTTATATCAATAAAATGAGATTGATTACAGAAAATGGAATTAAAAGTAGATATGATTCGTGTAACTTACGTGCAACTTGCGTGCAACTTACGTGCAATTTGTGTGGATTTTATTAGTATTTGAAAACAAATACAACTGAGGCCTAAAATGAATGCATCCAAGGAAGTTATTTCTTAAACGTTTCAAAATAATGACAATTTATTTATAATTGAGAGATATGATTGAGAATCGTCGATTCTTTGAAAAGATTACATGAAAATTATAGTTAATATCTAGAATTTATGAGTTCATTATTTTAAATAGTTATACTATAATTCCTCTTAAATGATTGTTCATTGCACTTATTTAATTAATTATTTTTATTTCCAATCAATGATGTAATTGTAAATAATGTTTTAAATTGAAATCTATATATTATATAAAAAGAGGATATATGCCCTCATTGATTGACATGTGGCAAATTCCTATGTCATTTGTTCAAATCGCTTAGTTGTCACTCAATTGCTTATTAGGTTTTAATCGGTATGTTTTTAAGTTCTTTCATATATAACATTTGTCCATTCATACCACACACACACGCACACACACACATATATATATATATATATATATATATATATATATATATATATATATATATATATATATATATATATATATATGTGTGTGTGTGAGTG